AAAACACTCCATTGAAGGTATAGATTAACTATAAATGATATCCTGGTTTAGAAACATTCTAAGATAAACTGCAGTTTTTAAAGTTGAAATTGATAGTAATTTGTGAGCATAAAATAAGTGCACAGAATCTTACATGCTTTATGGTCTTTAATGTTGACTTAAAATTATCCAAAAAATTAACAGAGCCTAATTACTCTCAATTTATTAAGGATAGCTTTTATTTTCAATCCCTCTCCAGTGTTCTCAGGTTTGTCACTTAGCAGTACAATGTCAGGCAGGATACTAACCAGCTTAGGCTCAATCCTCATATCTTTGCAAACATAACTTCCATAACAAAATGTTCCCTAGAGGTTACTTCCAGTATTAAAGCATCTATGTGATTCATTATAAGCATCGAAAAGGCTCACATCTATTATTTTGTTCATTTAAGTGAAGAGGAATACAAAAATTCTTTATTTAAAAATAAAAATAATGGCTGGGCTTGGTGGCTCATGTCTGTAATCCCAGGATTTTGGGAGGCTGAAGCTGTAGATTGCTTCAGCCCCGGGGTTTGAGGCCAGCCTGGGTAATAGCAAAACCCCGTACCATACCCCCATACTCCGCAGCTCTGTCTTTACAAACAAGAAAAAAAATTAGTTGGGTGTGGTGGCACATGCCTGTGGTTCCAGCTACTCAAGAGGTTGAGGCAGGACGGGAACTTGAGCCAGGAGGATGAGGCTGTAGTGAGCAGTGATCGAACGGCTGCTCTCCAGCCTGGGAGACAACAGAACAAGATCTTGGCTAAAAAAAAAAAAAAAAAAAAAAAAAAAAGTCTCTGGCTGTTTGTTTTAGAAGAGTAATAATGAAGACTCATAAATGATCACAGCCTAGGAGGCCCTACAAAATGGCTGCAATTATTCTGCTGATGTTGGACAAGCTATTTTTTAGGATCAATTAGTTAATTGTGTGTTGCTTTAATTACTTACACGCTTTTTAAAGCTTTCTTTGTGTCACAGCTGAGCTCAGGAGAAAGCAAAGCTTGCAGAGCAGTTCTTTAAATGTGGATGTAAAATATACTAATGGATTTACTTGCTAGTTAGCACAGTGTTTTAAATAGGGTCCTCATGCTGAGAAAAATATTTTATCAGAATCTGACTCCGAAGAGTCAAGAATAGGGAGAATCTTCACATGTATCTCATGATGGATAATTTCCGGGTCTGCAAATCTCACTGTAGCATTCAGTATGGATCACATACCGCAATTTTAAAATTTATTTTAAACCTCAAGAAGGGAATGGCAAAGTATTACATGTTTCTTAACATCCACCAAGTCAATTAGCAAAGCAATTCAATCCTTTGAGCTTTTTGTTGTATAAAGGGAAAAGTTTTATGCATGACAATTTGAATGGCTATGCCTAGAATACATAGAAGCACAAAGAAATTTCAAAGAATATGAACAACAGAATGACACTACAGGCAATTTTACAAATTATCAAGTGAGTTTTTTTTTCTTGATTTTCAAGATAGAAAGTATTCCCTACTTTAATTTTTTTCCCCTAATCCTGTTTACTACTGCTAAAAATTTAATTTAAGCACCGATGGTCATGGGGGTAGTGTCAGACGGTTTCATGTGCCAGGTTTGGAAAAAGACTATGCTGCTTCCACTCATTTAGGATAATCAATTGAGGAGAAAAAAATAATTGTGTTTTTCTCAATTGATTATCCAAAATGTTAAATGAAAAATGTTTGCCTATGGTTCTTCTCATGCTTTCGTTTATAACCTGTGACTCCTGCCACCTCCATACACCCTACTAGTCTCTGCATAAAAATGAGGTTTAGTGACCATTGGCTGTCACTTAATATAGGTACTGATGAATGTGTGAAAAATAATAGGTGAAAGAATGAATAAATGAGTAAAGGAATCAACCTATATCTTAACTCAGCCACAAGTAATAAACAATCTCAGGTCCTAATGGTTTCAGTGAAAATCTGTACAAGATCTCTTAACTTTGAATTACTTTCTTAAATTATTAATTTGTCCATAGGTGTGGTCATATTTCGTGGCCATGTTCCTGAGATAGGGCACCTGGAACATGAGTGAAAGTGGCAGTCTTTTTCCAGACCTGGCTCATGAGATCATCTCACACTACCCCCATGAGCTTTGCCTTCCCTTCTCTGCAGCTTGATTATCAATGCCCAAATTGGCTTTAGAGCTCATGCATTAAAGACGGAGGAACATCAGTCAGCCCCAGTTCCTGAATGATAGTATGACGCAGTGAACCCTGCTGGAATTTTGGCCTAAGGAAACAAGGAATCAACAGCTATTATGCTAAGGCACCTGTTATTTCAAGGTTTATTTGTTACAGCAGCCATTTTTTTAACACATGTGCCCGTCCCCCTGCTTTCTTTCACTAAGTTCCCTCCCACCAAAGGGTTTTACTCCTACTGTTCTAAAGGTGTCCTGTGAATTCCTACGCCTGGGTTAGATCTCAGCTCAAGTGTGGCTTCTCAAAGGGAAACTTCTCTTCTTCCCTAATTGAGTCATTTCTCTTCTATGTTCTCCTGGGAATCATATGACCCTACTCCTTAGCACTTGTCCAGGGAATATTCATTACCAAAAATATTCGCTCCCACAAGGTCACTGATATGGTACAGATACCAGTGAATTCAGGAGCTGTGGGCATCACCCAGGAGGCCAGGGCAGCAATGCAGGTGAACACTTATGAAATGCTGCTTAGGACACCCACAGATAACTGAAGGACGTGACTGCCAATGCAATTCAATTGGGAATAAACATGGATTCAAATATTAATACAGATAAAGTCTCATTTATGTCAGCAGGCTTCTAAAGTTTTAGAAAGTTCATGTGACCTAAGTTTGCTGAATAAAATACTTATTGACAATATAGTCATCTATTAAAGAGCTACGAAAAATCTTACAAAATATCTCAGGGCTGATGTTCATTTGTGAGCCCAGGTAGCTCAGATGCACTGCACATTAATTTTAACTGCATGTGTGTTTTTTGCCGTTGGATCTTCAAAAGGCTCTTACTGATTGGATGTGTAGTTGAAAACAGAGGCATTGATAAAAATGGAAACATTCACTGCCATTCAAGAAATCAAAGAAAGGAACCAATAACAAAGTTATATTTTTTGTTTAATTATTTAATTTTATTTTGCTTTTTTGCCTTGAGGCTGATAGTTATTCACTACCTACAAGACAACTGCATTCGCCTTGATTCCAACTAGAACAGCCCCATTGCAGTGCCTCATTAAGAATGCTGTAACTTCTTTCTGCCCCAGTAGACTCTCAGTTCTCCTCTTTGCTGAACCCTGAGGCTACTCATAGGAGTTACACAAGTAAGCCAGCAATGCCCAGCTGGCTGGTTTTTACGGTTTTCGGAGTAAGCATCATTCCTACAAGGAAGCAGTCAGTAACAGTGTTGGGCAACTCAAGTTTCCCAGCTTCTCTTTTTGTTTTTCATATCTTGTTGATCTCTTCCTGCTCATTTCTTACAACAAAAGCTTTGCTCTGGAGGCATGGACCTCTTAAAGAATTTTAGTGTATTTTAATGATTGAAGTAGCATAAATACAGTATTAAGAATTTTCAATTAGTAAAGCAGAAGTTATCATTGGTCCACAAGCTATTTTAGCATTTTAGCTTATTATCACTTAATGATTTCAATGTTTCCTTCCTGGCATGGAGATCATGGTATGTTTCATTTTAATAGAACACATATTTCCTGTTCATAGTACTGATTTAAATTTATCCCTCCTCAATTAAGTCATTCTATCTAATCAGCTTTGGCATGTTTTCCCATAGTAAGCATTCATCCTGTCGCCTTTTTGATGGAGTAGAAACGTACCTTAGTCATTCAGCTTAATAGGACACAACCTCTTTAACACAAAACCATACCATCCCCAGGAAGAACCAGGGATTTTTATCATTTACTTTACACCATGCAGATGCCTCATCTTAGCAAAAATTTCTTGCCTTCGAGGATGTCTTCACCTTTATCTGTGCAGTACTGGCTTCAGGTGTGTGCGACCTGTATAATCACACAGCTCTACATGCTTAGAATGTTCCCACACTTGGTTTAATGTTCTCATATTGCCATCAAGAAATTCTTTAAAAAATATGAATAAGGAAATTATATTTTCATTTTACTCTGGGTCCTTTCTCTAAGCAAATACCTATGCAAGGCAAAGATGTAGATTCAAATTTCATACAACGCTCATTGTTCAGGGAAAACAGGTGTAGTCTTGTCTCTTTATTCAATTTAATATTGAGGTAGAAAATACAGCACATAAAACTTAAGTGTACACTCTGATGAATTTTTACATGCACACACACACACACACACACACACACACACACACACGGTGGTAACCACCAATCATTTTAAGATACAGACATTATCAACCAATCATCTGTCTTCCTCATACTTCTTCCATTCGGTCTCTGCACCTTCTATGGGTAAATATTATGCCGATACATCACCAAATTTTGAATTTAATATAGATGGAATCAAACAATATAGCTTTTTTGTGCTTTTTTTTTTTAGCATTATATCTATGAGATTCATCCATGATCTAACAGAGGCATATTTTTTATAGCTGTATAGCAATCCATTATATGAATATATCACAATTTATCCATTCTATTGCAGTGGGTATCTGGGTTGTTTTTTAATATTTGGTCATTGTAAATATTAACTGTTGTGAACATTCCCGCACATATCTTTTGGTATTTTCTTTTAGGTATATAACTAGAAGTGGAATTGCTAGCTTGGAGTATGTACTTATGTTTAATTTTAGTAGACATCAATAGCGACTTTAGTGCATATTATAGCTTTTTTCCAGCTGTATCCATGCCTTCATCATGTAAAATTTATTTTGACTTCATTATAGCACGTTGGATCGCTTCCAATAGTCCAATAGCTCTTTTAGATGTCACAACCAATTGGGATAAAAAATTTTCTTGATTTTTACAGATTTCATTCCATATTGAAATTTAGAAGATTTACATTAAGTCTAGTTCTGATATTATTTTAGTTTCTATTGATATGCAAATCAGATGCATTTATTGCAAATATACATTAATGGGTATTCATAGAAAGAAAGTCAGAAAATTTCAGCAGAGCTCCAATCCAAATTTCTGGTATATATTAAATGCTTAATGCTTATTCTGTGAATATGTGTTAAACTGTGACTATCCTACCAGTTAGAAACAACAACAACAAAAAATACTCATAATAAGTAACCTATGCTTTTCTGATCATTTTAAATTGTATTTACAGTTCTAGGAATAGCTTAACTTTGGAGTCAGAACTATTATTAAGAGCACAAGTATGAGTGAGTCTCAGTAATAAGTAACAAAACCTAAATATATTGCCAAAATCTTAGAATGAGAAATCACTTCTTTAACAACTTCATTTGAGGAGCCACCATATTCTTGGGAGACATTTTAAAAAGTTGTGTTAACAAGGATATATGGGCTTCTGTAGAGACCATTCTAGCCAAATACACATATACTGTATATATGAGTAATTCTTAGAAAGTACAGGTAAAGATCTGAAATCCAAATTACTGCATGTTGCAGACACTTGTCATTCCAAGAGTAAAAATTTACAATCATATTACTCTCACTTCTAACAATTATTCCAGGAGGACATGTTTTCTAATCTCTCCACGGAGCCCTCCTTCAAATAACAACACAGTTAGAAAAAAATATTACCCCTGAGAGTTTTAACCTCAAGAGCCACTGCTAGCATCAGTGTTCCTGCTGTTTACAATTGATAATCAGAACATAACTTAATTGGGAGGATAAAGGCAAATGGAACTTGGGAAATGATCAGGGTGATATGCAAATGTCTGTTTATTTGGGGTGACCGTATTGAGTGCTGTCTCGCTGTGTTAGACATGATATTGAGCACTGTATAGGCTTTTGGTTTTCTTCCATGTAATCCTCACTGCACATGTATGAGATAGGTGCTACATTGTGCCCTGGAGGAAGGCAGTCTCCTATAGGCAAGTCTTTAGACCTCTTGCTTATCTGTAAAAGTAGGCCTTGAGTCTGGGACACTTCCTTACCAAGATATAGGGTCGTCATGGCCTGCAGTGGACCTACCACCTTGTGTGGAATAACTTTCCCTGTTTTGTTCTGCTTGGGCCTGGGCATCCTGTGGCACCTGGCCAACCCCACTGCTATATCTGTCTGCTTCTGGGAGAGGATGAGGTGCTTCTGCTGCAGCACGGAAAGGGTACCTATAGGCCAATTGTTTCTGCATCAGCTTCCAGGAGGGACCTTCTGGCTATGGGGGACTGACACACAGTACTGACACTGACCTTGCACTGTCCTTTCTCTGTGTAACGAGTAAAGTATTGTGCCGTCTAGTACCTGATTGTGTTGTATTTTCCTTGGTGATTCCAATATTAAAATCCAATAGGCAGAAGTGCTCATATTTCTACTCCTGATATATACAACAGATGCTCCTTCCTCCACAGTCCCTACTTTGCAGAAGAGGAAACTTAGTCAGAGAGTGGTTAAGTGACTTGTCTAAGGTCACCCAGTGAATGAGGGGTTGAGATTCAATAGGCCAGATCTATTTTATTAAAAAAAAAAGGGGGGGGGGGCTTTCCTCCATACTTCTCTCCCAATAAACTTTCATTATGTAATTTACCATTCCAATAAAGAAGGCATGTTGAGTATTCAGATGAGATTGCAGATGCCTGTATAACTATTCATGTGAGCTTCACAAAGCTTTCTGTTTTAGCAACATCTGTTACAGCCCAATATGTTTTAAACTGAGGCACTAGTGTGGCATAAAGCTAACTCAAATCTATTTATTGCTGCAATCAAGATGTTGTCATGCTTTGAGAACATTCAAGTTAAAAGGACAGAAGGCAATGTATAATAAAAGAGAAAGACACAGAAAAAAGGACTGAAAACATGATTAAATGTCAGAGAAGAATTCAGAAGTGGTGCTTATAGAACTCCTAAGTGCTCACACATATTCATTAATCACACCATTGAAGGATACTATGAATGGTGAGCATCTATTGCCCATTTATTAGACTCTTTTTAAAAAGAGTAAAGTGCATTTTGCTTGTATTAAGAAATTAGGCAAATAAATTTTCTTGAAATAGAAACATCTTTTCTGTCATTCAGTAGATGTCACATTCCAATGAATCTTTTCTGAGGTCAATAGTTCTCACTTCATCCCAGGTATCTTCTAAGTAGTAAGATCTATTTCCTCATTATCCTTCACACTCAATAAATAACTACCTATATAAAATGCCTGATGTGTGTGAAGCATCCTTATACATGCTATCAACATCTATATCCCATCACCTGCTATAATTTTATAAGGTAGGTAAAATTTTAAACTTCATTTTAGAAACATGATTTGGAGAAAAGGAAACGCTTATACTCTATTGGTGGGAATGTAAATTAGTTCAGCCCTGATGGAGAGCAGCTGAAGATTTCTCAAAGAATGAAGAGTTTAATTACCATTTGACCAGCAATCCTGTTACTGCATATATACCCAAAGGAAAACAAATCATTCTATCAAAAAGACACTTGAACTCAAATGTCCGTCACAGCTATCTGTAATGTTGGACTGAATAAACAAAAACGTGGAATGTGTACACCATGAAATACTATGCAGCCATACAAAAGCACAAATTCATGTCTTTTGCAGCAACATGGATGCAGTTGCAGGCCATTATTCTAAGTGAACTAATGCAGAAACAGAAAACCAAATACCACATGTTCTTGCTTTAGTGGAAGTTAAACATTGGGTACATTTGGACATAAAAATGGAAACGACAGGCACTGAGGAATACAAACGAGAGAGGTATGAAGCAGGGTAGGAGTTGTAAAGCTACCTCTTGAGTACAATGCTCACATCTTGGGTAACAGGTTCAATTGTACCCCAAACCTCATCACTATGCAATATACCTTTGTAACAAACCTGCACATCTACCCCCAGAATCCAAAATAAAAGTGGAAAAAGAAAGGAAAAAGACATGATTCTTTTTAAGCAATTTGCACAAGGTCCCAGAGCAGTGACAGTTCAGTGTCTGGTGCTCAGATCTGTCTCAGTCTAAGTTCTTGTGTTTACATGGCTTCTATCTTATTCCTTCATGCTCAATGGATCTCTATGCCTCTACTTATAGATCCTATAATGGGCAAGGTGGGTATCCTACCAGCTGTGTCACTCAATCGAAAACAAAGAAGCAGAAACCACAGGGGCTACTAGGCCCACTCCTCACATTTGTGGGGCTTAACAGGAATATATACAGAGTCTCTTGGCCCACGGCCCATTCTCCTCTATTCTCACCTAAGTTCAGTCTTGCATGAATATCTATGGCCACCCTAGGCCATAAGTCCAAGCTCTGTTCACATTGTCCCCAAATAAGCAGTACTTGACTACCCTCCTGAGCTATAACTGTGCACACTTTTGTGGAATTCACAGAAGTTGAACTCACGGAAATGATTCATGCAGGTTCTGAAAAATTGGCTTGTGCCACTTGCATAAGAGATTATGGGATCCTGAGAAGCCACAATGTAGAATAGAAGGTTGCATGTGGGCTCTGGGCAGGCAGGTCTCACCTTGGCCCTATGGGGAACTGCACAGCAGGAAGAGGCTCAGAGTGAACCCTCGAAGTCACAGTGATGGATCTTCAAAAGATATGTATTGACTAGATGATTGGCAGAAAAAAGGGACATTGCAGCAAATGAGATCGTTCCAGGAATCAAAGAAAAGAGTCATAATCATAGTTTTTTAAATGATTTTTCCTTTGAGTTGCTAATTATTCACAATCTACAAGGTAACTTCAGCTTACTCTACTTTGAGTCCAACTGAGAACAGCCAGGTTGCAATGCCTCATTAGGAATGTCGTGATTTCTTTTCTGACTGGGTAGACACACATCTCTAGCGTGTTGAACCTGCTTGTTACCACTAGAGCTCTGCCTCTGAAAGCCAAGGAATTGCCCTGTTCTTGCCCCTACTGGCTCTCACTCTGTGGAGGGCAGGAGCTGCTACTGCAGGGATGCAAGGCAAGGAATCACGCATCCTTCCAAGAACCTTGTATCAGATACAGTGCCCATGACACAACTTCTTATCTATGTCTTCTGAATGTCTTAAAGAATTTTCATAAACTTGAATGATACAAGCAATATGAGGTTAGTGGGAAGTCAGAGGTGGTGGACACATAATTGGTGGTTAAATATATCTCAGTTTTCTGTTTTGGTAATACAAATTATCTAAAGTTTAACTCCCTGGGAGGGCTGCTTCTCTTTTTCCCCTTCTCCATCCCAGAATGGCTTGAGGTAGAGGGAAACATCTATTAGTGTTGCGGATGAAGTGAGGAGGAAACCTGCTTTATGCTCATTCCAGGGCTGGTTGCCATTGCAAAGCATAGTTGTTCTAAACCTCAAATGTGCCCCAGTGAGTATTTGATGAGGGCTAGTGGGCAGGAATCTTTTTTGGATGCTGTCTCCACTCACTTTGAATATACTTCTACTTTGTATTTCCTCCACTCTTCCTATTTTTCTTAAGAGTTCTCTCTTTTTAATACATGTGCTTAGTTTGGTCCAATGAAAGGGGAACGGACTGACTCTGATGACCTGGGCTCACTCCTAGCTTTACCACTTCCCAGCTATAGAATATTGGGAGTCTCTGGACTTCCTTGAGACTTAGTTTCTTTCTCTGAAATACAGGGCATAATGTTTGTCCTTTATACAGGATAGATTTAAAGATCAAAAAGCTATAGTTTTTCGTAGGTTAAAGGATCTCTGTAAATCGTAAAGTGCTTGCAGAATGGTGAAATGGAAATACAGTGGGATTAACATTCAGGTGACCCAGCCTTAAATCCAGCCTCTGCCAATGATTGGTTTTAGATTCCTAATATTTAGAATGACTAGATGACTTTGACTTTCCTTAGAGGTCTAATAATCCATGAAATTAAAATTTCAAGTATTCAAAAACAATTTAAATTCAACCTTTGAGTCAGGAAATGAAAACTGATCTCTTTAGATTTCCAGGTTTTAAATATGATAAAATATACATACGCAGCAGGAAATGTTGGAAATAGATGTTTCACTTGAAATGGGCAGCTTTCTTAGAAACAGAAACATACAGGATCCCTAATCATTTAATTCATTTGTTCAATAAACATTTACTGAGCATCTACTAAGGATGTAGGAATGTTTCTGATATAGTTGGGAGACATAAAAATTAATAAGTTTGGGATCCTTTATATCAAGGGATTTCACATTTATTAATGGAGAGAAGCCCAAGAATATCTTCAATAAGTGGGACTTTCAAAATTGCTACCAGTGAGAGTTATTTTTAAAAGTTCCACTGGGATGTAAGAAAGGAAGGAATTTATTTGCTTTGTGGCAGGCTTAACTGTGAATTTCTGGAAGTTTCAATGAGAAGCTGGTCCATCAAGGATGCAGGGAGGAAGAAGAAGGTGACTGTGCAGTAAATACTGAGTCAAACCTCAATGTTCTATAATTTTCTGAGTGTAATTCCCCAAATGTCCTCTGTTTCTTTCTTTTTCTTTGTCTTTTGTTTTTTTAAGATGGAGTTTCACTCTTGTTGCCCGGTTGGAATACAATGGCATGAACTCAGCTTACCGCAACTTCTGCCTCTTGAGTTCAAGCGATTTTCCTGCTTCAGCCTCCCAAGTACCTGGGAGCACAGGCATGCTCCACCACACCCAACTAATCTTTTTTTTTTTTTTTTTTTTTTGTATTTTTTGTATTTTTAATAGAGACAAGGTTTCTCCATGTTAGTCAGGCTGGTCTTGAACTCCTGACCTCAGGTGACCCACCCACCCTCGGCCTCCCAAAGTGTTGGGATTACAGGCATGAGCCACTGCCTCAGGACAACGTCCTGTATTTCTTCGTGAATGTCCACTTAATTCTTTTCTGAAAGCATCTTCTAAGTTTGGGCATTAATATGTCTCTGTTGACATATATAGGACTTTATCTGGATCTTTATATCTTTTTTGCTCTTTTAGAAAAGTTAATATAGAAAGCTCTGTTATGGTCCCAAAGAATCACATGACAGATGCTTCAGGAAGTGTATGGTCTAGTTGGTGAGATAAAAACCAAGATGGTGATTCTTTGGTATATACCAAATGCTGTGCATGCATGATCCCATTTATC